AATAGGGCGAACCGGGGCTGGTTGCCACATGACTGAAACCTGTGAGGATATTTTAAACCGTATCGGCACGAGAAAATTCAATTTCATCGAGGAACACAAATTTGTTATTTATAGATAACAATACATTAAAAGGATTACTTTCTGTTGCAGCTTGTTCGAGTGTGGTTTGTAACACGCATTCATAATAATGTAAATGTTCTCAGACTTCGTGTGTTATGAATTCGACTAAACGCGTAAGTGCTTTAAAATGCTTCGCTTGGCACCTAGATACAAATGTGAACATATTATGTCGCTCTGGGAACAGTTCCTCCATTAAATTCCACACCCATTCAGTACAGCGTATTAAAGTCAACTTATGCATATCACAATCTTCAGGATCTTGGACAGGAGACAAAATTATCAAAGATTCTGAACTGAATGTCAGCAATCATACAAGGGGCTTTTCCTTTCCTACGAAATACATCATAGGCAGTTGATACAGGATCTCGTATTAACCCAAAAACCAGGCAGTAGCCTTCAGGAATTATCATAGTCTACTGTGACGTCACACAACATGAAATAGTTGAAATCGATTCGACGCCCCATAATAATACATTTCCAGTTTAACGCGTTATGTCAAGTATGCAAATACGAGCACCCACACGTACAGTGAGATATGTTGTTGTTTTCGGAATCTGAAGTTTAAGTTGCGTTTGGGTACGAAGCGGCCATTTGTATGTTTATGTAAAGCCAAACAGTCCTTGACCGGTTCTATGGGCAAAGAAAACTTACGTTAGCCTTTCGGTTAATCTAAAACCACGTGACACAGCGTGTTCCTAGCTAACGGGACGACTCAGCAAGATGGAATTTAAAATTGCTCGTATTTGATAAACTTAAATTTCAGACGTGTTTACCCTGAAAGGAACGGAAACTTGCGAATAACTATATCATCCTGTTTGTCCATAATGAACAGTCAAATCTACGAGGGTTAGTACTGGTTCATACAGGTAGCGGTGGGCACACGCCGTCCTTTGGGTTTTGTGGTTAAAGTTTCCTGATTTTTTTTGTAATTTTGTACACTCT